TGCTTGCTTCACTACACACACACGCACACACACACACACATACACTTCACCAATATATATCCAATATAATTGCAAGGGTTGCAAGTTTTGGCATAAATTTCCATTATGCCATAACTGCCAACACTTCGGGGCGTCGTCTCCGAAGGACATCATATCACACACCAGAAGAAAAGAAATAAATTCAAACACTAAACCGAAAACGAGCAATTTCAAGGAACTAAAACACATTTATCACTGGCTGAAAGTCCCAAACGAATCAGAGAGAGAGCCGAGAGACAGAGACAGAGAGTGAGGCAGATAGAGGGAGTTACTATAATAGAAACCAGACAATAGTTCACACAGGTTAATAAATCGATATGACATTTTGAGCCCTTCAGCTACCAAAATTGTATATATACGGCATGCGTGTGTGTGTGTTTGGGTGGATGTCCTTCTGCAACTACAGCTAATACAAGCAACAACAAGCCAATAAAATGAGCCATTCTTTTTCCTTCAACATGCACAAAAAACCATTCCATGCTCATGTAGAAATATACACAACTACATACATAAATTTCCATGTAAAGGCAATAAAAAGGACATGTTTTCATACTTTACTTGCCTTCATATAAGGCAGTGCACACACTCACACACTCACACACACAGAGAAAGACAACAACAACATAATCAAGAGCATAACAATAACGAGGCGAGTCCAAAAATTATTTGCATTTTTACACATTTTGAGGGTCAGCCAAAGGACAACACAAACACATCCGAGTAAGACGGGGGCAAAAAAAAAAAAAAAAAAGAAGAGAAATGAATGTCCTGCACGCTGTCCATTATGTGAGGGGTTAAAAGTTTTGCCCAATGATCGGACAATGCGTATGCGTATGTCCGTGTGTGTAACTGTGATAATGGGTTTCTGTGTCGGAACTTTCAACTTCCTTTTATTGCATTTTATGGGCTCTGCTCATGGTGGTGGGGTTAGTCTTTTTGTGGACTTCGTTTAAGGATATTAGGATGTAGGATGTAGCCTGGACGACTGCTGTAGTCCTGCCTGCCAGCCTGCCTCCCCGGCTCTACGTTATGATTATGACATCGACTGACGATAAGGTCGAACTTTTTTTTATTATACCAAAAAATTGAATTATGCGACGCATTCTCAATGCGTAAACATGTGACATTTATGCAAATAGAGTTTGCTTTATGGCCAATGTGAGGGTTCCGCATGCCAATGGGTATGTTGGATAAAAAAGACTTCAATTTTTTATTAAAATTGATGTTATGTGAAAATATTTCAGTAGTTCCGTTGAGTGGCAGTTGAACTAATATAAAAGAATTGCTAAGGACCTTAAATGATTTACTATAAATGTTAAATGGATGAATTGTGTGGAAGAGAGAGCGAGAGAGGTAAAAGGGGAGAATAAGGGAATGTAAGAATGAGAGCAATATAGAGGCTAACTTATAAGGAACAAGTTTTGAAGCTAGGCAGTGCAAGATAGATCAAGCTATAATTGAAACACGGGTGAAAGATCCTGATAGAGAAAAGATTTTTAAAGAGAGAGCAACTGCATAAAAAAGACAAAAGTTGAAAGGAAATAAATGAATTGAGATTGATTATTATCAAGAATTGAGAAATATAAAACAGAGATGACAGCTATAAAGAGTAAGTTTGCTTGACTTAAAAATGAATGTCAAAAGGCCTTGAAAAAGAGTAACCACTTGACAAAAGAGCGAGCATTAAAGAATATTTCAGGCTATGTAAGTTGGCTAAATTTTTAAAACATATCAATAAACTTCTGCAATAGACTTCGAATAAAAGCAGCAGCTTGAAGTAGAACACTAACTGCATATAAAATAATAATAAAACGTAAACATTTTAGAATAAATTTCCAAGGCCAATTATTTAACATAGAGAAATGAATATATAACATTTAATTTAACAAAACTATAGAAGACTTCAAATTTCCATGGCTCTTCTGGTTATTCCACAATTTGTTTTCTCTGCACAACACAAAACCTAAACATTTGCTGACTGGTCACACTGCAAACAAAGCTGACAGACAGGCCAAAGATAACTGCGAGTGGAACCATGTGGCAGCAAACAGACCCCAGTCAGTCAGTGAGTGAGTCAGTCAGTCAGTCAGTTGGGCAAACGTCAGTCAGGCTGTGGGGCTGTGGGTGAGTCATCCAGTGTTTCGGTGAGTGCCACAATCATTCACTCAGACTTGCGCCGTCTGCCACTCAAAGCCAGATGCCAGGCGTTCAGTTGCCGCTTCTGTGGTCTCTTCTAGTGTCACACTGTAGCCTGCGGGCCAGCAGCTAGCCAGCTGGGGTGAAGAAGTGCATGCGGAAGGGGCATGGCTAAGGCGAGGCAAGTCGCGCACCGACTGGCGACTCAGTTCGCGCTGGCTGCACGCTTTGGGCCAAACAAAGTGTGAAGTATTTCCAGTGTAAAAACCAATTCATTTGCATAAAATGGCAACTAGCCGGGACTGGAAATGCAAACGGAACCAGGAGCACTGTCCGCGTCGTCGTGAATTAGAAATGGGACATGGCAGGCGCCACACAACTATCTAAGCTACTACTACACACACACACACACACACACACATAGCTAGTTGTATGTGGGTAAATGGCACACGCGCGCGTCCAATGTGAATGTGAATGTGAAAGTGCATTAGGCAACTGCAACAACAATAACAACAACAACAACAAGAACAAACACTATTAAAGCGACGAGTTGTGTTTTTGGGGTTAAAAACTTTATGCAGACCATAGGCATTGTGGCTTTTGTGGCCAGGCCCTGCTGCATGGCCCATAACCCAGAATCAGGCAACCAGATCCAATGAATGCCATGCCCCTCCAACTGCAGCAGCAGCAGCACCCATGTCGCCCGCCTGCTGCGTTTTTGGGTCAAAGCAATTAAAGGTTATAAATTTGTGTGTGTGCGAAAAATTACATTTTTTATATGCCACACAAACAGCAAGAGGGAGAGAGAGAGAGAGAGAGACGGCAGCGAGCTCGTTTAAATAGCACGAGAGATCGGCTCTTGGTAATAGTTTGGGCATATACAAATATATGTATATATATATATATAGTAGGGATGCCTGTCACGTGCTGGCTACGTGGCCAGTTCATTTGCCGTTTAATTTAGCAGAAAATTAAAGCCCAGTTAAAAATTTGCATGCCAGTTTGCCAGCTAAATTTATGAAGTGCATGCGCGCCAGTTGCAGTTGAGGAAAATGAGTAACTATATAATGTTATAATAAATACAGCCTGCCACCCGTCAACTGATTAATTGGCAAATTTATGGGTGCAAAATGGTAAGCAGTGCGATAACAAGTAAAAGCAGAAGAAATAGATGAACTAAAATGGACTAGAAATAGCAAAGGAGGAGAAAAGAGAAACTAACATTAGAAATAAGCGCAAGCGTGTGAGGGAATATCACTGATGTAATCATAATACGATTTCCTAATAAATGGGCTTTAGATAATGGACTGATGGAGAGTTCAATTAACACAGTGATTAAAACAATTATCATCTTGAATTAATGCTATCCATAGTATTGCTAAGTTAGTTTCAAGGTGTTATAGTAATATGTTATGGAGTTTGTCGTCTAGGGATTGCTTAAAAGTGAAATGAAAAAATCAATTATACGGGAGGCGAGAAGATTCGAGAACTCTATATCTTGAATTTCATGAATTTTACTATGGACCTTATATACATTTTTTTCTAATTTAATCATCGATTATTTCTGCCATAATAAAACACTGTGCTAATTTAACTTATAATTATAACTTCAACTCATTTGGTATACAGTCAATTTCACATCAGAATCATATAGCTATATACCACACACAAATGCAATAACTTATAAAAGACTTGAGTTGACTTCACTTCAGCCGGCACGCACTTTACCTTAACCTGCCTTATTATAACATTTTCATGCACTTATCTCCTGCATGGCCATTGTGTCAACATGCTTCCGGCTCAGTTTAAAATTTTAATGTCAATTACCCGGGAGCGTTTTTTTATGTACTATACGAGTTGATGACATACTTTTACCAAATGACCCTCGCACAGTACACGTGTGACTCTTGCGCAACCTCTGCCTGCTTCCTCGCCAACTGTTCTCTTGCAATGTTTATCAGTTTTTCACCTTTCCGCATTTAAAGACAAAAGAAACAGATGCCAAACATATTAAAAACCATGTCAATGGTATTCGCTTGCGCGCACCTGACATGACGGTACACGCAACGTGCCACACCCACAATTTACACTTGACTTTAACGTCATTAACACACACACACACCCACATATACACACTTATCAGACTGCTGCAGTTGTATTTTATCGCCCTTTTTGTTGGTTTATGTTAACAGAAAAAACAATCTGTGTGCGAGCGAGAATGAAATAGTGAATAGTGTGTGTGTATGTGTGTGTGTGTGTGTGCATTGACATGTGCGTGTGGCTGGCATGACACTTTGGCTGTTTGAAATACTCAGAATCAGGATCAGGCAGTAAACAGCTCAGATTCCTTACTCAGGCTAAAGCTCAAAAATTAAACTCAGTTTTCAACTCCTGTCAGTGTCAACATCCTTGCCGTTTGCTGTTGCTGCTAGCATATTTTACTCTTAATGTTGTGTGAAACAATGCGTGAAATTTTCATTCAAGTGGCATACCACACTCGATCAACCTCTCTGTGTATGTGTGTGTGAAGGTGGCAGAGTTAAGAAGCAAATGAAACGAAGTTAAGGCGTGAGAAGTGTTCGTGTTCCATAAAAGAACAAAGAGAGAGAGAGAGAGAGAGAGAGAGAGAGAGAGAGAGAGAGAGAGAGAGAGAGAGAGAGAGAGAAAGAGAGAAAGAGAGAGAGAGGGAGAGATAGACAATCATTATATGTATAAAGAGACTTCAATGTGAAAAGGAAAAATATTTGAGTAAAATATAAATATCAGACAAAAATATATATTCACGATATACAGTTAGCTTTTCAACGATATTCCTCAGCCTGTCGAGAGGCTTTCCCATTTTTCCAATTCATTCGACTATTTAAATGCCAATGCCATGACATATACCTGAGCAATCATTTAGCCTAGCCAAATACCCATCCGACAGTCCATTTGCAACTTATTTGGCAAGAGAGCTCAACTCAACGCTGCTCGCAGTTTTGGCCAATTTACTTAATGACAACTGCTTGGCAATTTTGGAGGCCAATAAATTGCTTTAATTACCCCATTTTAAAGACCAATTCAATGAGAGGGCAGAGGCAGCAATAACAGAGGCAGACGAGGCCAAGGAGGAGGCACAGCAGGAGGAAGTGTTGGGATTGTAATGTGCATGTAAGTTGGCGCCAGAGCAATTTGGACAGATGCTGCTTGCTGGGCACTGACACACGGTAGATAACACTCAACATCAACAGACCATCAATAAGAGGGAGGTATGCTGGGGGGTGTAAGGGGACACTGATGGACGGACAGAAGAGAAGAGTTGAATGAAGATGGACAGCAGCTGTATAAGGCTTAAATATAGAGTCGGAGAAAGGAGGAGAACAAGCAGGAGGAGGTGTAGGCAGCTGCTGTTGCCGCTTGCTGCCTTGCTGCTGGCAATTGAGCGACTGTTGCATACCTGGCACTGTGTACGGTGATGGATGCGACGATGGCAGCCAATATGCTGAATTTATTGGCGGATAGGATTTATGCGTGGCATGCAACCTGGAGTTGGTTGCCAGCAACGATGACGAGAACGAGAACGACGACGGTGACGGTGACGATGACGATAACGATGTCGCAGCCGATGCTGATGCCGATGCCAATGATGTGGAGGACAATGCCGCGATGTCGCTATTATTGGATAAATTCTCAATTATTGACGATAATTGACTGCTGCTGCTGGCGTTGATGTTGCTGGTGTGAGTGTTGTTGTTGTTGTTATTGCTGCTGCTGTTGCTGTTGCTGGCAATGCCATTCTCTGTAGCGCCGCCTTCGCTATTTACGAAACCAATTGCAGTTGAATTATTTATCATGTCAGTTGGCGGATGGCAACGGCGAAGAAGAGAAAATTCTTGAAAATACTTTACACTTATTTACACACACACACACACACACACACATACACACAGATATAGAGAAAGAATGAGAACACACACACACAGTGACAGAGGAGAGCGTTAAAAAAAGAAACACAACAATTGTAGTGCTCGAAATGTCTTTTGTGCAGTAAGAAAAATAAGTGTGTATAAAAGTATCTCGAGCGAGTGAAAAATTCGTTAAGTAAATATCATAAATATTAAAGACGACTGCGTTGACTCTCAAACAATTAGCGTCAGGTTAACACTTCTTGATGTTTATTGGTTTTTCCTTCGATTCGATTCTTGATTATTATTTATTTATATATATTTGTTTGATTAAAAACACGCAACGTTTTTGCTTTTGATCAGTTTTTAGCCACGCACAATAACAACTTTTTGGTTCGACTTGTTCATTCGAATATGACGTTTAACGTTTAACAATTAAAAAGCAACAAATAATATTTTGCAACTTTTTGGTTTGCTATTTAATAACAATTAACATTTAGTTTTTTTTTTTTGCTTTGTCAGAATTGCACTGCGCTCGCACTTTTTGCGTGTGTTGTTCTTTCTTTTTTGTAGCTTTTTGCTCTTGCTGTCTGTGATTCTAGACAGGCGCTGGCATCGAGTTTTCCTTCGGTTTGCAGGCCATTCGCTTGTCATGGGCTGCTTTTATAGATCGAATAGATCGATTTGACTTGCAGCTATATATAGGTAGATACGCAGACAGCCAGAAAGACAGCAGGCCGGCTGGCAGTCAGGCAGATAGATGTCAAAGCAGGCGACAAAAGGCGCTCAAAGAATTAAAAGAATTGATTTGTAAACTGAATAAAATAAAATCAAATGAGATATTCGGCATTTAATTGCAGAGAGCCAGAGTGAGAAAGAGCGAGAATTTTAGAGATTTTTGGCTATGTTTTTAACTGTATAGGGTGGGTCATGGTTTCAGTTTACAGCCAAAGGCTCAATTGCCAAAGTTCGGAGAGAGAGAATAGGAAACAGCCACGTGAAAATAAAACACATATAAAAAGTAAAAAAAAAAATATATATATATATATCTCAGAAATGTTTCGAATAAAAACTAAAAATATACTTTCTGTTGATTAAATTTTGCTTTAAATTAATAATATAATGGCAAATCTCTTACACTTAGACTTCAAATAGCTAATTGAAAACATGGAAGGAAGCAATAATAACCAATTAGATGTCGCCTTTGCATATAAAACGATAATTTTTATTTGAAATGAATTTATAATCAATAA